TATATTATTTTTTTTAAGGCAATCATAGATCTATTTTTGTGGTATTTCAACTATACAAGCACTAAATTCAAATTTGATGATATATCCTTTATCACATAATTGACTAATGCTTAATAGATTATGTTTTAAACTATCTACTAATAACATCTTCAATTAAAAGGTTTGACTTGTTACCTATAGTTCATTTGTCAATAATTTTTCTTTTGTTGTTGTCTTCGAATAAGACGTATCCTTCGTCTTGGCTAGTGAGCTTAGAGAAGGGTGTTGGATCTTTGGTCATGTGCCTTGAGCATCCACTATCAAGATACCATCTCTTGCTCCTAGCTTTTAATTGTAAACATATCTACAAGAAAGGGAGTTTTCTTTTAGATACCCATTTAACTTTAGGTCCCTCATTAATAGATCTACCTATTTTTAACTATTGTCGTTGAATTATTTAAGGTTTTTTTAGGAACCCAAACTAATTTGTGTGGATTATACTTTTTAAAAGAACATGTATAGGCATAATATCCATATTTTTCACAAAAATTATATTTATCTCTAGATGAAAAATGTAATGTAGATCTTTTAATGAAGATAGTTGGCTTTTGTTGAGTATTACTCATAAGGCCAATTTCTTCCTTTCTATGAATATGATCATGGTTAGTAAGGATTATGTTTATAGATTTATTACCTATTTTAAAATTTTCTAATATTTCTTGTAGTAAAATATTTTTTTTCTTAAGTGAATCTATCTCTTCACACATAGTGCAACGAGCTAACATACTATTATCATGCTCATTTTTTAATTTATTAAATTACTAACAAGAGAAGAATGCTCCTTTTTTAATAATTTATACTTTTTACTAACTAATTTAAGATCATCAAATAAATCATTAAAGGCATTAAATAATTCATCGTAAGATAAAAAATATTTGTTTGAATTACATACCTCGTTGTCAAATGTTATTAATGTATAATTTGCAACTTCTTTGTTAGTAGGCTCCTCCTCATCTTCAGATGCACTTAAGTCATCATAGGTAGTTTTTAGTGCTTTCTTTTTCTTTGTTAGCTTCTTCTTCACATAGGGATATTCATTTTTGAAATACCCCGACTTCTTGAATTCATAGCAGATTATTTGGTCCTTTTTTAATTTATTTTTTCTTAGCGTCTTATTTTGTTTTGTTCCTTCTAAGTGTCATTTTCTTCCTATTCTTTGGAAGGTTGTTCTCAAGTTCATCATATGCTATACATGTCACTTCATAGGTCATCAAAGACCTGATAAGTTCTTCAAGCAGAAAGTTATTTAGGTCATTTGTTTCTTGTATCATCGTTACTTTAGTATCCCAACTTTTTAGAAGGGGTCTTAATATTTTATTAACAAATTCAAAATTAGAAAAACTTTTACCAAGTGCTTTTAAACCATTGATGATATCTGTAAAACGAGTGTATATGTCTCCAATGGTCTCGCTTGGTTTAATACAAAATAACTCATAGCCATGAACCAAAAGATTAATTTTTAACTTTTTAACTCTACTTGTGTCTTCATGTGTCATTTCGAGTGTATGCTAAATGTCATGTGCAGTTTTGCATGTAGAAACCTGACTAAATTTATTTTTATCAAGAGTGTAAAACAAAGCTTTCATCGCTTTAGCATTCAAAGAGAAAGTCTTCTTTTCCAAATCATTTAATTCATTCATTACTTTGGAAGACTTTTTAAAATTATTTTCAATAATGTTCCATAAATCAAAATCTATAGAAATTAAGAAAATTCTCATTCTAGTTTCTCAATAGGTGTAGTCCGTCCCATTGAACATAGGAGGACGAGTGATAGAAAGACCCTCTTGATTGTCGATAAAAGTTATTTCTCTTGGGTGTTCAACCAAACGAGAAAAATATTGTCTCTGATACCAACTGTTAGGATCGAAATCAGCACTAAGAGGGGAAGAGGGGGGGGGGGAGTGTGAACTTGTGCTTACATTTTGGGGGGGGGTGGTGAACTGGTGCTTACGTAAAAACATCAAGTATTTAAAAAAATCATTTTGATAAAATCATATCGAAAATACATTTGAACTTAGAGAAAGTATGAAGTGGAGGTGAACAGTCAAATCAGTAAGCAATATAAAGGAAAAAGGCAAAGAGGAGAAGGCACACTAATTTTTTAGTGGTTCGGTCGTCGTGACCTATGTCCACTCCCGATTCCTCCTTCGTCGAGGCCACCGACATTCACTAACGGTCTTCCTTCAATAGGCGAAGACCAACTATTCTCTTACAACTTTTTCTCCTTTTTACAGGTTTAGGAGGCAATCTTTACAAGCCTCATACCTCTCTTAGAATGATCACAAAACTAAAGGAGGAGGAGGACACTTCCTACTTTTTTAACACTTTTACAACTCAAAATCTCAATACTTTTGTTCACACTTTCAAACTCTTTTATGCAGGAAAGAGTGAGATATTTATATGCCCTAAATGACTTGAAAATGGAGCAAAAAATTATCTCGTCTTGGGTTTTCAGGGTACTTGCGGTACCTCCGCTAGTATTGGGCAGTACCACCACCTATAGACTGACACTGAGCGGTACGACTACCTAATAGAGCCTCGGAGACTAGGCTTTGATAATACCACCGCCTGGTAGTATTAATTGTTGGTGGTACCATTGCCCAGTCTAGGCAGTACCACCACCCAAATTACTTGGGAGGCTGAGCCTCAGGTGGTGCCACCGCTTGGACCAAACAATAGACCCAATTTAGCCCAAATTCTGGCTCAATTGACCCATAATTTAGTTAGTAGGGTTACTCCCAAACTAACTTAAATTGACACCTAACTACGATATTTAATACTAAACAATTACAATGTAAGCAATCCTAATTATCCGGCACGTCAATTGTTTATCCGAAATTCCGATGAAACTTTCGACGCACTCGTAGTGATCTTCCGGCGAGCTTTCAACGAACTCCCGACGAGCTTCCGATGCATCATCCGAACCTTCGGTGTATCTCCCAATTCTTCCAACCCAACATTTGATTCTTCTTTAATTGTTTTACTTTACAGGATTATAGTTTATCCTATATCATTTTTCTTAACACATGGATTAGATCATTAATTCATCAATTGATTTCATTATCAAAATCCGAGATTACAACAGCTTCTCATAACCATTTATTTTCATGTACAACATGTTTTGTAGCATGACAAATCATAAAATTAATCCAATTTGCTGCTCCAAGAAAATGTTTTTAGTGTAGAAGAAATTTTGCAACATGGTTACACTCATCACAGAATTTGCTGAAGCGCTTTGTATGTCTCTACCAAATAATTCATGTTACTCCTGAGAAATCATGCAGCACCCAATGCGAATCTGATTCACATCCATCTTGGTTCATGTGTTGAATCAGCTCTTCCAGTGTCTGATAAACCAAAACAATATGTGGACTACTGCTTCTGTCACCGGAAGCAAAGCCACGTACCTCATCCCTCACTTCAATCCAGCTCATTCCTGCCTCTTTCTTATTCCCCTGCTCTCTCAAACATCTCCTCATCTCTGCAAAATCTCCCCATGCCCCGCCAGCTGCGTATATATTCGAGAGCAAGACGTATGTCTTCGACTCATTTGGCCTCATGTCAAAGATCTTCTGAGCAGCCAATCTTCCCAAATAGACATTCTTGTGCATCTTGCAAGCCCCAAGCAGTGCTCCCCAAATTGTTTCATCAGGTTCAAAAGGCATTGTTTCTATCAGCTGATAGGCCTCCGTTATTCTTCCAGCTCGGCCAAGAAGATCAACAACGCACCCGTAGATTTCCCTATTAGGAGGAACATTGTACTCGATGTTCATCAAGCTGAAGTACCTCAATCCTTGATCTACCAGTCCCGCATGACTGCATGCACTGATTACACTCATAAGCAAAACTTGGTCAGGTTGAACACCCGAACTAATCATCTCATCAAAGATTTCGGTTGCCTCAGCTCCATATCCATTCATCCCACATCCGATCACCAACGATGTCCATGTTACCAAATCCTTCTCAGTTATTTCATCGAAGACCTTTCTCGAATTGCCTATACTTCCACATTTGGCATACATATCTATGAGCGCGTTCGCTACTTGGAGGTTCCTTTGATGGCCTCTTCGAATTGCAGCGCCATGAACTTGCCGTCCGCAGTTCAGAATTGCCATGTTTGCGCAAGCCGCTACGACGCTACTAAAGGTAAAGCTAGTTGGCTGCATGTTCTGTGATCCCATCTCGAGAAACAGTAGCAAAGCTTCATGTGAGTTTGACCGCTCGAGACTGGCAATCATGGCATTCCAAGTAATCAGGTCCTTTCGAGGCATTTCATGGAAGAACTTCTTTGCTTCCGAGATGTTCATGCACCTGGAGTACATGTTCAGCAAGGAATTGGAGACTGGAAGACTTGAATCATGCCTGGTTTTCAACGCCAATGCATGGAGTTGCTGACCGGTTGTTGCACAACCAATTGAACTGCAAGCGTGGATTGCGATCGAACAAGTAAATGCATTCAACTCGGTGCACTCCTGCTTCAGAAAACAAAGATACAAATGTCAAGCCGTTAGTTGTCACGTCAAAAGGTCGAACACCTTACAAGAATTGCGTGCAATGCAGGTTTTTGTGCAGACTTGAATCATCTGTTTGAACAGCAGAAGTCCAGTGTCTCCATGGCTAATCCGGGTATAGCCAGCGATCATAGTAGTCCATGAGACGACTGTACGATCCGTCATATTCTTGAACACAGCCTCAGCGTCGCCGATGCATCCGAACGACGCATACAGGTCAAGCAGCGCGTTCTCCACATAGGCTCCGTTATCGATGCCCCACCGCACCGCCATTCCATGCACGGCTACGCCGGCGCAGCTTGACTGGAGGCCTCGGCATGACGTTAGCACACTGGATATCGTGTATCGGTTGGGACAAACGCGGCTAGCTATCATGCGGCAGAAGGTGGACAAAGCGTCCTCATGGCACCCGTTGGAAGCGTAGCCCGAGATCATGGCCGTCCAAGAAACGACGTCCCGGTGGGGCATTTCATCGAACAATCGGCGGGCCAACGCGAACGAGCTCTGACGGCAAAGGTTTTTTATGAGATTGGTGGCTGTAACGGGAGAGAGGCTCAGGGCAGTCATGGGCTGGGCTTGGTAGAAGCAATGGGCCCCCCCGATGTGGTCGGTTGGCTCTTGGAAACTTACGGAAATGAGATGCGGTCGATTTGGATCCGGAAACCGGAAGGGATGGAAGCTTCTTCGTCCTAGAAGAGGAAATGAAAGGCTCGGAGTTATTCGCCGAACCATCGTTCATTGACTGGGGAGGATTATCTCCAAAGGTTCTTCTCGATGGAATCATCATGTTCACAACTCAATCTGTCGCCCATCTGAGCCACATACGTCATCAGTACGAATGACCTAATTACTAGCGAGTACAAAGTCTGGCCGCCACAATATACCAACGAAGAACTTTGCTTCCGAGATGTTCATGCACCTGGAGTACATGTTCAGCAAGGAATTGGCGACTGGAAGACTTAATCATGCCCAGCCAATTGAACTGCACGCGTGAATTGCGATCGAACATGTATATGCATTCAACTCGGTGCATTCCTGCTTCAGAAAACAAAGATACAATTGTCAACCCATAAGTTGTCACATCGAAAGGTCTCTGTGCAGACTGGAATCATCTGTTTGAACAGCAGAAGTCTAGTGTATCCATGGCCAATCTGGGTATAGCCAGCGATCATAGTAATCCATGAGCCGACTGTACGATTCATCATATCCTTGAACACAGTCTCAGTGTTGCATGACGCATATAGGTCAAGCAACAAGTTCTCCACATAGGCTCCGTTATTGATGCCCCGCCGCACCTCCATTCCATGCACATTTACGCCGGCACGGTGTGACTGGGGGCCTCGGCATGCCGTTAGCACACTGGATATTGGGTATCGGTTGGGGCAACGGCGCTAGCCATCATGCGGCAGAAGGTGGCCAAACCGTCCTCATGGCACCCGTTAGAGGCATGGCCCGAGATCATGGCCGTCCACGAAATGACATCCCGGTGGGGCATTTCATCAAACATTCGACGGACTAATAAGAACGAGCTTGAGGGATAATTACGGATTATGGACTATAGTTAACTATAGTTAGCATCCCAGTCCTAGACTTCAAAAAATAACATTGGGATCCCTATACTTATGAAATTAACTGATTGTCGTAATGGCACTAGGGGTAAATTAATACTATAAAATTTTTTAACCAATTTTAAAAAGTTCGATCGATAAATCCATATTGGAAATGTGATTAACAAAAAGAATAAGTAAATGTTACAAGTAAGTAAATCAGTATACAATAATAATTACTGGAAGAGAGAGAATATAAATCGATTTATAGTGGTTCGATCATCCTAACCTACGTCCACTCCTTATTCCTTTTTCCTAATGACTATCGGCTTTCACTACCGATCTTCTTTCTAATGAGCAAAGATCAACTACGTTTATTATAATTCTTCTCCTTTTAATAAGTTCAAGAGAGATCCTTCACACTTACTCTTTTACAAGAGACCTCACATCTTCTATAATTGAGAATCATGTTGAATCTCAGATTTTGATGATGAAATCAATTGTAATTTGTTTGATCTAATTTATATGTTGAGAAAAGTGTGCAAGATTAACTACAATGACAGTAAAATATAAAGCAAGTGTTGTGTTGGAGTCAAGATCGAGATCACGTTGGGAGTTCGAGAGTTCATCAGAAGTCCGGACGTTTGACGAAATTTCTACAGGAACCAACTGAGAAATCCAAGAGCTTGCCATAGAAGCTCATCGGAACTCACCAAGAAGATCGTCACAAAGTTGGGGAGCTTGTCGGGAGTCTGCCGGAGCATTACCGAGAGTTCGTCGGATGTTCATCGGAAGTACGCTAGAAGCTCGTCGGAGGAGCAATTGACGCACCGAAACATGAAGTGCAGTAATCATGTCTTAATTGTGATAGTTAAAGTATAAATTAAGTTAAGATTGGGAGGTAATCCCACTAACATAATTAGGGGCCAACTGGGCCCTAAGTTGGGTTGGTTTGGGTCGGATTCAAGGCCCAACCAGGACCCTAAATTCCTGGCCAACGGTGGCACCGCTTGGGATACTCGGTCTCCTAGGAATTCTGGGCAGTGGTACCGCCCCTGTCAGGTGGTGGCACCGCCGGTAGTTATTGCTGCCAGCGGTGGTATCGCCCCTGTCAGACGATGGTATCACCAGAGCTCAGTCTCCGGGCTTTGTCAAGCTGTGGTATTGCCCAGACTGAGTGGCAGTACTACCCAGTGTCAGGTGTCAGGCGGTAGTACCACCCAATAATGGCGATGGTACCTCCAGAACCCTGAAAATCCGGGATTAGACACTTTTTGGCTCCATTTTTGAAGCCGTTGGGGCCTATAAAAATCCCACCCTTTCCTGCATGAAAGGGCACGAAACCTATTGGCATAATCTTGAGTTCTTGAGCCTTAAGGTGTTGTAAAAGTTAGAGTTCTCCTCCTTCATCTCTTAGCCTTGTAACCATCTAAGAAAGAGGAGTGAGACTTGTAAGGGTTCATCTCCTAAACCTGGGAAAAAGAGAAAGTGCTATAAAGAGGTGTTCGGTCTTCACCTATTGAAGGAAGGCCTTTAGTGGACGCCGGTGACCTCGTCGGAGGAGGAATCCGAAAGTGAATATAGGTCAAATTGACCGAACCACTCTAAAACTCGGTTTGCATTTATTTTGAGCAACTTTCTTTTATAGCAAACTGCCTCTCCTCCTTATTGTGCTTTAACTACGTCTACATACGCTTTTACGTAAACATCTTCAAAGATCTGCTTTAATCATATAAAGACTTTACGAAACCTGTTAGGATCAAGAGCACTAAGAGGGGGGGGGGGCGGGGGGTGAATTATTGCAGCGAAAAACTTTCGATGATTAAAACTGCATTCGTTCGATAAGAGTGATTTCGGTAGAAAAGCCGATTCGTAAATCACTTTTAACTTGTAATCAAGCAAGATACAGTT